ACATTCGAAGCTTATTGACTAGTATTACTTTGCCACGTTTTCAACAACACTTTGATTGCTTATTATTACACAAGAGATCGTGTGTGATCATTTTCATTTAGTGATTTGCGTGGTTGGTGTATAGAACGCTCACAGATACCACCGAATACACAAACAGAGATTGATACACCATTTGTGTCATATTTCAAATTGAATGATATATCGGAAATGTTTATTTTTATGACCACAAGAAGATTATTATGAACAGCAAATTTGTCGGTATATTTACAAGTTAATGGCACGTACAAGTTAAATTGAAACAATTTTCCAAAGTAAAATGGTTCCAAAGCAACAATGACAGCTCAACAACAATACGGAAAGTAGTTGATCTAGTTAATTGACGATGACAGCCGTGATAGCAAGAGAGATGGTTGTTCATTTGTAGGTTGATGAGCTGGGGATGGGTTATACATCGATGACGAGTTCATAAGAAGATAGTTCCTGATGACAAATGGCCGGCCACAAATCAAAAGTGACCTATGTTCAATACAATCGTGTTGCAATGATTTCATATTTGATCTAGCAAGCAAAGTGTTGTTGAAAACGTGGCAAAGTAATACTAGTCAATAAGCTTCGAATGTATTTTCAAAACGAGTGCACTGTGAAAAAACAAGTGCCCCTCGGGCGATGAATGGGACACTTAAAATAGTTCACAGTAGGGCACTTTTCTTGATGGGACACATTTTTTTGCTTGAAAGTGCCCAGAGGAGGGCACTCAATGTGTCCCATTCATCCCCTAACAAAGTGCCTTTTTTAACTGAGGGGGCACTTGTTTTTTGAGAGTGATTGATGCATTACCATATTGATATGAAGGCAGCGCGTTACGATATGGCAAATAAACCCCGGTGGAGTGGAATTCTCTGCCAATTTCACTCGTAAACTGTCAATCTTTAAGACTATTTAAAAAACTACTGTATCAACATTTAGAACATACTGTTAATTGATTGAATTTTACTGGCTCTGTGTTCATCATTTTTCTGTTTTCCAGCTTTTATATCTGTGTGTTTTTTGTTTTTTTTTCTTTGTTGATTGACTTTGCGTTAGACAGGGCAGGATTCAATAGGATTACATTATACTTCTATTGACTAGCTTTTTCGCTATTTTTTTCATGTCCTTCCATTTTTGGTAAATAAAGTTCAAGTTCAAGTTCAAATAATGGACTTGAAAGTTTCAATGGTAAAATCGAGAAACATTACACATTACGTAGTAAATTACCATTAACCGGTTTTGTGTCAAGTGCTCGTCAAATGAGTATTGGTTGGTCTTTAAAATTATAGAATCGTATATTTACATTAGAACTAATTGTTAGTAAAGACTGGGAATTGTTAGCGTCAAAATGACTATGCAATCCCGCAATGAAAATGCAACCCGTTCTCTTTTTGATGATAAAATCGCACTCTTTTCGACTTTTTTTTTTGTCCATTCTCTTTTAATTACAAATTTTGACGTAATTCTCCGAACATTCTCCATTTTCAATTCTTGTTCAAAGGTTGTGCAATTTTATATGAGAAACATCACTGACAGCAACAGTCGGTTCGGTCTCATAGCTTGAATGAGATATATATCCTATTCGAGATATAAAGATATATCCTAATAAGGTTGTATGTCCCGTTCGGACTACGCTATATATTCTTTTCAGGATATAGATTCTTCTTGATATGCCTTTCGGCATATATCCTATATTCCGAACGGGATGTTTATATTAGCAAGTAAAATTAAAGAAATGAAAATGATAAAAGCAAAGATTTTGTTTTAACTTTTTAAAAATTGAGTGATAGTTGATTGTAAGTTAAAGTATTCGAAGAAGAAATGCGACTAGAGAAAACGACAGTGTATTTACTTCAAAACTCGATAGTTTGAGGCAGACGAGCCCCCAATCTATTTTAGATTCAAATACCATTTTGTTGAGCTTTGAGTTGATACGAAAATGAACAGATTTTTCTTAAAATACTGTAGTAATAATACAACTTCGACTAAATATATATTAACTTTCGGAAGAACATTTAATTTTCAACAGATTTTTATCCTCAAAAGGAGCTGTTTATGGTACAGATAGATAGAGGAGACCATGGACCGCTTATGCTATCAGAAGCTGTCTGATCTTTGCAACAGTATTTCTCCATGCTGATTTCTAGCAATAGGTTCCTTCACGTACTGATTTGTCTTAGACTATCCCAAGCAAAAACGACCCAATTTTTTGGGTTATTTATCTAGATTCAGCTCCACGTACATCTAGATGTATGTGACTCTGAATCTAGATAAATAACCCAAAAAATTGGGTCGTTTTTGTTTGGAATCATAAACTAGCTCTTAAGTAATCTTTCTACTAACAAACATCTTCATTCTTTTAGTTTCATTTTAGACATCATTTTTAGTTATTAAAAGTGATGTCATTTTCTACTCGATTAAATTGTCAGTTCATAGACGATTCTTTAGTTCAATGTAAATCAAAAGTATCATCATTTTGCAAACATTGTCAGTTATGGCTTTGTTCTGACCACATAAAACTACATGATCAGATGGTAAAAACTAAATATAGCAAATCAGTGAATGAATTAAATGTTAAAAGTGGTTATTTATTAAATACACAAGATAATGAAGATAACTGTAAATTAAACGAGTTTAAACACTTAGATGAAAGGAAAGAAAGCAAATTAAATAAATCAGACCCAATTTATAGAGAAAAATTAAGTGGAATTAAATTAGCCTCTAGTGGGACATATGAGTTAAAAGTCAGATCTAGAGATAATATTAATATTGTAATGAAGGAATTATCAACTAATATTTCTGATGAAAATCAATTAGAACAATTGAAAACACCTTTAATGGAAATCGATAAATCAATTAGT